CATACACATGATCACTAAAACAAATGATTTACAGTAACCTAGCCAACAGAGATTGCTCATTGCGAAACCACCCTGCCCCCACATTTCAGTGTTAGCTTGCCCGCTGCCCCTCCACTCCACCCCCCCACCCCCTCCAAAAGAAAATGCGTCGCGACGTTTCAACGTGAGTCTCGAAAAGTAGGCTACTCACCCCGTCTGTTGGGCAGTTTATCTTTAGCGTACGTTAGGCTTATGTCTGGTTTTGATGAAAATGTGTCAACTTTTTTGTTTTAGGTGTATACTGTACACATCAAGGAAAACGTGTCGGAACCGTAGTTTTGCAGTGGCCTTTATGAATGGCCCTTTAGGTTCTGTTGTTCATCCAACTGTTAGATCCGTATGCAAAGATCTGAGAAGATTAGACGGAGCGATTTGATTTTATCATGTTTTAACAGCGGTCAGACGAAAGTGAACAAGCTACAGTGTCTTTGTTTGGTTTTTCTTCTCAAGAAACATGTTACATTTCCTGTTTGACTTTTTTTTTTTGGGGGGGGGGGTGTCTTTTACCTTCATGGCCATGATAATTTCGTGTGTGTCAATGCTATCGAAGTTTTTGTGTAGTTTCATGTAAGTTCCAGTCTAAAGCAAGCAAAAATAAATCCATTGATAAGAGAATGTGAATAAACAACAGCTGAAGCCCGTTGTGGGGAATTCTTTCAGGAGTAACAAACAATCAGTAGGTTAAGAACAGCTTCATCTCAATGTATATTTTCATAGGTCTTTTCTATATCTGATGTTGAATCCGCCAGAGGGTTTATGATGTTCCTTCTTCTTGAAGCCTCCAGAGAACGTTATGTCCGCTCCTCCCTTAGTTTTCACTGTTTTCTCCACCTTAACACCCCCGTACAGGTTGCCGTCGGTGTCGCGCCCTACGTCATAGACCATGTCCGCAATCGCCAGCTGCCTATTTTGGGGGATTTTTTTTGGGCGGGGGGGGGGGGGGGAGGAGAAACATTATTAACTCAATGCAGACGCGTAGGGTTTGAGACAGCTGCATTCGCTAGTGACGCATGAATTTTAGCTTCTTTTTAGGGGCCCATAAAAACATTACGTTTACAGATATAACACAACGGTTTTCTATTATATATATAGAAACTAGAACAATAGAACTTTTTAGGTAATCGCATCATTTAGCTAAATAAAATACACAATAGCTTTGATGCAGTTTATTGAAGAAAAAGTGGTCCATCAGACCCCCCCCCCTCCCAAAGGAAAAAAAAAGTGTAAGTGTTAACAGCAGCTAGAGTAAAAGCTGTATGTAGCCTGTCGAATCATGCGACCCTTTTTCTTTTGATCAGCAAAACTTCTGGTTCTTAGTTTAGTAATTGTGTTGATGCTGTGAAATACAGTACTCAAACGCTGCCAAAAATGGCCCCTGACATGACCAGAACAAATGACTGTAACCGACAGAATACGACTTCATCACGGCGGTTTTTCAAAGTTATGCCATGAAAAATATCGCTTTTTGAAAATTGTATCACCTATTTGTATTATCCATATTCGGTTAAATTCCTAAGAATTTGGAAGTTTAATGGTTCCACAAATCATTGCAAATAAAGCATGTAAAATTTACCCAAAGTGACCCCATCTGATGCGAAAAACTAGCCGATTTACTTTTAGGAGTGGCCGCAACAAAATCCCCGAAGTTCACATACAAGGGTTATATTTGCAATCAGGAGTGATTGACTCATCATTTGCTTGTTATGAGGAAAATGTTACAAGAGAAAATGAAAATACAGAACTGACACCACCTTCCACATAAAATGATAACAGCTGCTTGCAAACTTGAGGTTACAAAACCCAGTCTGAATCAACAATCTTCGCAAAACAAACTTCCTCACTGATAAGTCATAATTGAAGAAGCACTGACTAGCGATCAGGTTCCATCGAGTGCACAGATCCCATCAAAATAATGTTTTTAGAAAACTCGTCATGGTCACAGCATAAGTGGAAGAGACTATTTGTGAACTCTATTTGAGGCATTTTGAAGAAGAATGTGACGTCCAGGTAGACTCTCTTTTTGCGTGTGGAAAAACTATTATGTACATGTATTCTGAAGTCCCGTAATAGGCTACCTAAATGAGTACTGGTCAGGCAGCCATTGAAAACAAACAACACACTGGCCAAGCTTCTCAGCAGCCCTTCAAACAATAGAAAGAGGATCCTTTGGCTTTGCCAGTTCTTCAGCGCGATGCGGGGAATGCAATGGTAGATGGAAAAGACACCTATCAGATGATTTGTAAAGCAGTTGAAAAATATTTCGAAAGAACGAAAAAAAAATAGAAAAGATTAAAGAAACGCAAGAGAAAATGGAGAAGAAAACACAAATTAAATGCTGGGGAAAAGAGAAGAAAAAGAAAGGCAGCACCAAGAAAAGAAAAGAAAAGGATCGGAGAGGAAAACAAAAACGAAGAGGAGAAACAGCAGATATAAAAAGAAGTGAATAAGCTCAAAGGAAAGGCTAAAGCGAAGTTGAAATTAGACTTAAATTATGACACAAGTATTAAGGGGGTGGGGTATATGACGAAGAAGATAATTACGAAGAAGTCTTGGGGTGTATGAAAGAAGCAGAAAAGAACAACAAACTTGAAGAAACGGAATAAAAGGTTCGCGAAAGTAAACAACAGAAAAAGAGGCTCCTTGCAACAAAAGGATGCAATGGCTTCAGAAACTGACGGAATGCCCGAGAGCAAGAAGAAACAGCACATAAATATTATTATGTCTGAGGCGACGTCATACATGGCACACTCGACATTACTACAACTAATGCACAGTCCCTTGAATTCTGCGTTGAATGAATCAGAAACATATTTGAATCTTCATCTAGATGTTTTTAATTGTTAGTGAGCATCAGGCTAGAGGAACACGAAGCGAAGGTTATGTCGCAGCCACAGAATTCTAGAATTCTGTGGTCGCAGCAGAAATTAAAGAGGATAGAAATATATTCAGTTTGTTTTGATACCTCATACTTTATGACAGAAAAAGAGGTTTTTGTTTCATAAACTTTTGATTTGAATGAATCCATTAGCCTGCAGAGAATCTAAATCCTAAATCCTTTTTTTTCTTCCTCTTCTGACCCTTGGCAATGTACTGTTGTAAATACAAATGTAGCTAACATAATGAAATTTCCCCATGTAGCTGCTTGGATTCCCTTGTGCGGCCGCTCCTAGGTCTCCTGGCTGCAGTTTGCAAGGGTCTGAATTTGAACAGTACCAACTGGCAACTGAGAACTGGTTTTCACCAAGAACCATAGAGTTACACCCTTTTAAACATTAACCTCTTTAGTTTCCACGCATCGGCCTTATGTCTGAAGAGCCAGAGTATGCCAGGAACCAATCAGAAGTTGCCTGTGACATGGCATTTAGAGATTTTAAAAAAAAAAGGGGGG